TGGACAGATGCGGGATGCGGGATGCCTATGCACGGTTTTGAATGCAGAGAGGACGTCTTTTGCATGGCTGCCTTTAAATATGCAAGACCCCTGAGACTTTGTTTGTTTCAACTCCTGTTCTATTTTAAGCATGAATAATTACGCTTTTTTTCTCAGCCAAAACAACAGCATGGCAGTTCTGCAGGTGTAGATTATGTCCCAGTGCCTTAAATGCACTGAATCAATTAATGTGAAACCACACAACGTTTTAAAAATTACATTTAATATTCAAAATGTTAAAATGAAATAAATATATTTTTTATTTTAATAATTAATAATTTGATAATTTACTGTACATGTATCTTAATGAAATATTAACAATAATAAATAGTGTTAAATTATTATTTACAATTATTTAAAAAACTAATTGAGTTGCATGGAAGTTACATTCCAAATATGCTAAACAAATTACACTTAACACATCATTTTAAAATTAATTAAAAAAAATGCTATGATTAGTATTTTTGTTAAAAAAAAATCTATTATTGTTTATAATTTAAAAGAATTCAAAACACAAACATTAAATGTTGCATTTAGTTACATTCCAAGCACACAAAAATCACATTAAACAACATTGTAATCATAATGTTACGGTCCGTGGTTGTAGTTAGCGCACGACGGAGTAACCAAAATAGACTTTAGTTCCACTTTAACACAAAGAACAGGAGAGCAAAATAGCATCCACTCATGTGTACCATTAAATCAACATTAATCCAGGGCGAAGAACATATAGAAACTGAAGGCTTGTAAAGACAGGGAAACAAAGGAGCAAACGAGATGATCAATCAACACAGGTGAACAGACTAATTGAGTTGCATGGAAGTTACATTCCAAATATGCTAAACAAATTACACTTAACACATCATTTTAAAATTAATTAAAAAAAATGCTATGATTAGTATTTTTGTTAAAAAAAAATCTATTATTGTTTATAATTTAAAAGAATTCAAAACACAAACATTAAATGTTGCATTTAGTTACATTCCAAGCACACAAAAATCACATTAAACAACATTGTAATCATAATGTTACGGTCCGTGGTTGTAGTTAGCGCACGACGGAGTAACCAAAATAGACTTTAGTTCCACTTTAACACAAAGAACAGGAGAGCAAAATAGCATCCACTCATGTGTACCATTAAATCAACATTAATCCAGGGCGAAGAACATATAGAAACTGAAGGCTTGTAAAGACAGGGAAACAAAGGAGCAAACGAGATGATCAATCAACACAGGTGAACAGAATGAAGGTGATTAACTAATAATGAGAACAGGAACCAAACCAAATAAAGACAAACAGGAACATACACGTGACACATAACAATAACAACAGCAACAATAGCAAAGCTGTTATTACTATTATTATTATTATTATTATAAATAATTAAATATTATTTACATTTTAAAAATGCTAAACACAAAAACATTAAACGTTACATTTAGTTATAGTCCAAGTCCACAAGTCACATTAACCACATTAAAAGTAAAAGTAAATTTCATTATTATATTTTAATTTTAAACAGCTGCTTTTGTATTATTATTATTATTATTATTAATGTTTTTTGTTGTAGTTGCTATTGTTGTTAATACAACTGTTATACTTATTATTATGTAAATATTACCAATAATTATTTACAGATTTAAGTATTAAAAAATTATCTCAAGTTATTCAATTAGTTATTAAACTGCATCAAAGGAACAGTTTCCCTCAGACTCTTTCACAATACGATGATAATTTCGAATGTGCTGAAATGATAAACATTTCTGATACGATTTTGCAATTAGTGCCCTATTCAACCTCTATGTGGCTCAGACAATGAGGTTCAACAAAACTTTGGGAGGATGGCAATACCAGTGGCCAGCTAACACTGTTCAGCACCTGTACCCTCTCATTAAGCATGAATATAAAGGCCTGTCTCACTGTCTTCCAAAGCCAAATGCATTCAGACTGAGTCATGTGACACACCTGCACTCTGCCTGACAACAACAATTAGCCGTCCACACTGCAGCGCAATCCAACCCTTTACACAATCTGTTTAATTAGTGTCATTCAAGGGCTGCTTTGTTAAAGTCTCTTTTTGAGATTGCATGTTGGAAATGGCTTTTGCATATTTATTATTGACTTTTCCCAGAATTAAAAGCTATTATGCTCTTATAACTGTGCTTTTTCTCATATGCTCAAGCCTGGAAAGCAAACCTAGAATATTTATCAGGATATGGAGATGGGCTTAGATTAATGTGTCTGAAAATGGGAGAAAGTGCTTCTCTGATAGCATATTTGCAGGTTGCAAGCAAATGACTAATTCGCCCAGCTGTTGTTGTCAAAAGTATTAGACAAATTTATGGATAACCCTTAGATTTACTAGCCTGACATCCTGCCATTTTCTCCATTAGTATCTCTTTTTGGGGAAATTGATTCAACCTGGCTCTATTCACTTGGATGTTTATATTGTAACCCTTTAACCAATTTTTACGTCATATACAGTACTTTCAAAAAAGAATATATATACAGTATATATAGTATAAATGGAAGGAAACAATACCAGGGTGTTGTAAGTGGTTGCTAGGACATTGGTATGCAGTTGCTAGGGTGTTATAAGTGTTTTTACCTTAAGTGTAAGTGTATTCTGAGTGGTTGCTTACTTGCTTAATTCAAAAGAGCTGTTCCTCAAGTCTCTGTTAAATTTTCTTGTCATTATTTATGGGTTAGGTCCCTCTTCCGATGTAAATCTATGGGATTATATATATATATATATATATCCCGTTGCAAAAATAAAAGTAATGACACACCTTTCCCCAATTCAAAGTTTCAGCAATAGAAACACCTCAGCAAACATCACTAATGATGTAAATAATGAAGTAACAGTAAGACAGGTTGTATTTATTAACATTACTTAATGCATTTGCTAACTTGAACCAACAATGAACAAGATATGTTTACAGCATTAATCTTTGTTCATTTCAACTGTTAAATACACTAATGAATTTCTAAACATTACTAGCTTATTTTTTAACACTTGTTAATGCAGTAGTTAACATGTACTGATATAAAATAACACCTCTTTAAAACATTAATAATATTAGTTTATGTTCTTTCATACATTTACATTTCTTATCATTCAAGGTCTGCTCATTCATGCAGTGTGTTAACATTACTTAAAGCATTAGTTTCCATGAGCTAACATTGAACAGCACTTTATTAGTTGCTTAAAAGCAACAGAGCGCTTTTGTGAACCTCATTGTAAAAATCATTTCAACATCAGTTAATGTTTCTAATTATTATGGGCTCCTTACTAACATGATTTATCTTTATTATATAATTTATTATGCATTTACCATTATTTGACGTGTTACAAATTTTTGTAGGCTCTTAACTAACATTATTTAAGAGGAAAAGAGCATTTATTAGGGGTATTGCTGGATCTTATTGTAATCTGTATATAAGGTGTTGTTCATTGTTCATGGTCATGAATTAATCAATGCTAAGAAATTCAGCTATTAATGCTAAGAGAAACCTTGGTATATGTCCGAGTTTACATTAACAATAATTAGGTAATGCTGTATACAGGTGGTGTTCATTGTTAATTCAACTAATTTTTAACTAACATCAACTAACAAACAGAATTCTCAACAACAAATATAGCAAATTTGTTGTTGGCTCCGGGTCCTGACAACATTCCTGGGCGTGTACTGAGAGACTGTGCAGTGGAACTCACCGATGTCTTCACAGACATTTTCAACATCTCGCTAAGCCAGGCTGTTGTCCCCACATGCTTCAAAGCTACCACCATCATTCCAGTCCCAAAGAAGTCGTCTCCATCCTGCTTCAATGACTACCGTCCAGTTGCACTTACCCCCATCCTCATGAAGTGCTTTGAACGGCTAGTCATGAACCACATCAAGTCTGCCCTCCCTGGACCCCTTCCAGTTTGCATATTGGTCCAACCGCTCGACCGATGACGCCATCGCCACTACCCTCCACTCAGCACTCACACACCTGGACAAAAAAGACTCATACGTCAGAATGCTGTTCATAGACTTCAGTTCAGCACTCAACACAATCATCCCTCAACAGCTCATTCACAAACTTGACTTGAAATACAATCTGTAATGTCTAACTGAAATGATTAAGTTCTCTTATGATTAACTCTTCATATATATATATATATATATATCATTATATATTAAAACTTAATTATATATTATCATTTTTTAATTAAATAAAATGATTTTTAAATTAAATAATAAATAATTATTTTTAAATGTAAATATTATAATTTATCAATTAAATTATAATTATTTCATTAATATTTGCATTACAAACAAACTCAGCACAAACTCATAAAATGTTATACTTAGTTACATCCAAAATATACAAACATATAATTAAACTACATTCACACATACATACTGTTAAATGAAAATAAATATTAATCAGTATAATTACAGGTTGCATGCAAGTACTGCAAGACCTGTGCAGGAATTATGGTGCAATACCAGTGAAAAAGATATCGCGCAGTTGCATTTATGCATGTGTCAACACTTTTATCCAAAAATACAATACAACTAATTTTTCTTTTCCCACTGAGCGACAAGAAAAGACTTCAGCCGCCAGTGAAAGCCACAGAGACAGGAAGGTTTTAGTTTGCCCTTGACATTGCATAAACCTCCATGTGAATTATGAATGGCCTATTTATGACACCTGGTGGCCTGCTGCCATTCCTAAGCCAGCACTGAATTACACATACAACAAGTTATTTATTTATTTATTTGTTTTTTCCTTCTTTATTCGACAGTGATGTATTTCTATGATCAAATGTTATTATTTTAAAATAAACTAAAATCATGGTTAAATCACTGGAGGAGGGTGATTTACATGAAGTATACTGTGAAGGAACTTCTGTCTCTATTCTGTGGCACCTCCTCTTATTGTGACTGACATGTCTCTCTGTTGGCTTTTAGGTGGATTAGCGAGATGCCCGCCACTCATCCTCGACTTGTGCTTTCAGACTGAATCTCCTCCTTCTGGGTTATTCTTCCAGCACAAAGTGGATCCATGATTGAATATTGCACGCTTTTCTGTGGTGATCTGATCTTCTCTAAAAGTCTTCATGAAAAAAAAAAAATCAAATTTTTCGTGAGGAACACATCAATTACTGGCACATATTCCACCACAAACAAAATTGTGAAATTCAGATGAATTCACCAGTTGCACTTAAAACTGATTAATTTGTAATACATGTAAGTACTGTATAATAAATAACAAACTACAGAATAATATCATGCAGAAAAGACTTTCCCTGAGTTCTTTGGAGAGCTGAAATGCACTGCGGTCTGCCTGAGCGTGTGGTGAGAAGGCATTAATAACCTCTTAATAAAATTAGAACGGTGAAAGGTCAACTCCTGAATTGGAAGAAGTAAATGAGAATCGCTACTCTGAATTGTCCTCCCCAATAAGCCGTTTACAATTACACTGACACAGGGCAGAATCCTGGAATCGTCTGACAATTAAATACATTTCATGCCATAAAGTTGAGATTTAAGTTGAGTTTAAAAGCATTTCCTCCATTTACTGGGCCACAGAAGTCTCTTTGTGGCTCTTCGTCTCAGAACTCAGAGGACCATGTGGGTTCTGCTGTCAACAGCAAAACTTCAATCAAAGATAGTCTGTTGGGGAAGGACCTAAAAATAGAAAGAAAGATTACATGGGAGGTTTGTTTAGGGACTTTTGAAAAGGTACATTTCTTTTTCCAAACTTTATTCAAGGCTGCCATGAATGGACTTCCTTAATGTGGGTGTCAATAAATGGTGTACCTACAGCCATAATGGTGTTTTAAATGGACAAGCCTGTCAAATCAACATGAAATCTTATGTATTTCCAAGTGAAACAGGATATTTATTGGGAAGAAATGCTGAGCAGAAATTGATTTTATCCATTGGGAATTGACTGGATAGTGAAACGTGTCTCTATGATGTGATTGGAGGAGAAGTAAAACAACAACAACAATATTTTACATTAGATTAAAGATGAATATAAAGAATGATCTTAATTAATATTTTAAGATCAGTCTTTAATTTTATTCTTACTGTAACCTTCATATATATATATATATATATATATATACACACACACACACACACACATATAGTCATACACACACACACACACATATATATATAAATAAATGCAGCCTTGTTCAATAAAAGACATCTTTCAAAGACATTAAAAAACATTACCAACCCCAAACTTGTTGGTGGAGTATTATTATTTCTGATAAATTCTGCATAATAGAATCAGAAAGGTCTATTAAAAAATAAATGGGGTCAAATTTTTTTTTTTTTAAATGGTGACTTTAAATTACAATACGATTATTGATCACAGACATAATGTATTATCAATCGTCAGAATGGGCAGTGATACTCTCCTATTCATATATGTATAACACTAATTTGCTCATTAAGCTGGTAATTATTAATGTATCGAGGGACAAAATTCCATTTCATTGAATGACACTCCTTACTGCAGCTCGTCCCAATCAAATCTGCCGCGTTATGATGTAAAACAGTATCTTGAGGCTGCTTGAAATTGACTGGCTGATTGTGATGGGAATGAGAATAGAAGAGCTCCCTCAACAGCCTTTAGAAGTTTGGACACATGCAAACGCATCCAAATAGATATTAAAACACAAGAACAAACGTGAGCGGCGAGGGTAAGTGTCTCCCTGAAACTACCATCTCTGATAAGGCTGGAGAGAAGCTCATTACAAGCGATACACACACTGGCTGATGCTACACACACCGCAGAGGCGTCCCATCAGTTGTAATTATCATTGGTATACCCAGTGCAAGCGCTGGCAAGATCAATCCAATCACGGCACTGCAGCGTGACTGAAATTGAATTGTATAGTATTTAAACGATCAGACTGATACCAACTGCATCAAGACCTTTTCGGCAAACTGAAAATGCAGAATTGGGTAAGTAATCTTAACAAAGCCGTTTGGAGTGTGCTGGAATTGTGACTCCGTTTTGTTCCTCCCAAATAATGGAGGCAGTGCCATGTACACATCATAAAGCCAGTGCAGCTCTGTGTTTGTGTTTCAGGAGACTGCACTGCCCTTGAGCCCCGGGTACAGATGATGCTGACACCCACTGTAATGAGAAATAGAAGATGCCATTAATTGCCTTGCATGCGTTGTGAAGCGGTCGAAAAAGCCATCCAATCTCCGAGCAATTCTCAGAGCAATATCTATGCATAAGTATAGAAAGGAATCATTATTTTTCAATAGTCTTCCCTACTTGCGGCTCTGATCAATACAATTCCACACGGCCGAATGGAACTGCAGAGGACTTTCTATGGCTTTATTGCATCACTGCCTGCATTAGTGCTGACCAAAGGGGGTTTCTGTGCCAATAGTGTTTGACAAAACATATCATTTGAATCATATTGAGTGCTGTATTGAGGCTGGTTTAGATGGGAAGAGAGATATAATGATGCCATCATCTTGCAATTTGGAAGATTTATGATTGAGGCTTAAATTAATCTGTTACTTCTTTCACATTTTCTGTGCTGATTTTATGGGGGAAAAACAAAATTAATTTAAATATGGTAGTAAATGTTAAACAGAAATAAATGGCATAATAAAGCATAATAATAAGACAAAATATGTAATAAATGCACACGCAAGGGAATGTATAGCATTTGTGGATGATGAGAATTGCAGCGCTGTTCAAATCTGTTGATGTGTGTGTGTGTGTGTATATATATATATATATATATATATATATATATATATACAGTATATAATGTATGTATGTAGTTATTGACCAAAAAAATGTCTGAATATAATTTTCTTCTTTCATAGTCCACAAATTTGTATGCAGTTTACAAAAAAAATCTATAAAATTGTGGTGGCAAAAAGTATTACACTAACTGATTGATTTGAACCCCCCCCCCCTCCACATATAGACATTAACATTAATATTATAATTTATATTGACAATATTGTACATACTTTTGTGTGTGTATAACATTTCCAAATATCAAACATTTCAGTAAAATTAACCATGAGTTGGTAACCATAGTAACAGCCATTTTTTAAATTAGTTAATGTTAGGTTAATCAGGGCACCACATAGGATGTTTTTTTTTTAAACCAAACCAAATCCAAAAGTTTTGGTCTTTATATTAGTTATATAATACACATGCAGTTAAAAAAAAGTAGCACTAATTTGGTACCAATTTTTGAATCCATATGCTTAGATTCATGCAATATTTAATTCATAGAATTTAACGCATGAAATTGAAAAATTACATTTATTTAGCGCAATTAGACAACTACAGCTGTTTACCATACTGTTATTTTTACACATTAAACACACTGAAATGCTTCCTGAGATTTACTATTTAACCCATATAGCAGGTTCTGTATCTTCTGTGTTTAATTACTTATCTTCCCTCCAAGCAGGCGCATGCACAGATGCTTTAATGAATTTACTAGTCTGCTGTTGGCGTAAAATAGCGTCAAGCACAATTTAAGATATGACATTCCTTGTATGAGTTTTTTTTTTTTTTTACAACATAATATAGTTAAGTAATGTCACACGAGCAAAGAACACTATTTTCCAGAATATCAGCACAGTAATATTCATTCAGAATTATTAGACACAATATTGTCAATTTTGGCTGCTTTTGCACTATTTTGCCAATGAAAATAGTTCCAAACAAAGTCTCCCAGCAAGACAGAGTGTGTTTTGTTCTTGAATGATTCTAACAAATTGAGTTAATCAATAAATTAATGACCCTTTCATGAAGATGGTCATTTGCTTTGTTCATGGATGAATGAGCTGTTTTGAACAAATTGGTTGAATGATTGATTCTATTACTGACGTAAAGCCGTTTGCGTAGTTTCATGTAAAGTATCATTTCATTGTATATGCATTCATTCCACATCTGAGCTGCATAAAAAAAGTCTGTGTAAATACATCTAAATGCCACTTACAGATACAGCTTCTGTGCCACATCTGCAGTGCAAAGATGAATTTTGCTAACACTGATATCATTTGAGTGGTAACAGCCCTACAGTGTTAATTAGTCTGAGTAATTACAAGACGGTCTACAGTATATAACTTTATTTTTTCATAAATAATTACAAAAGGGGTACCCTTTGATTTGCTTGAGCGCCTGCCCCACAAAATGTCTGTTGATGGCCCTGCCTCCAATCCTCCAATGGATTTCAGCCATGATAGCAACAGACAGTTAATGCATCAAGCAATGAACACAGGTGTGCTGCAGTTTTCCAGCAGTTTTCCCTAGACTTGCGGTGTTGTTGGTAACTGCATTGCTGCATTTCAAAGATGGCAAGAAATCCAGTGGAAATGTTATTAACATATATTCTCCTCTCCAGGGGAGGCATTCATACAGTTAATACTGTAAAACACACACTCTCTCCCCAAACACATACAAACAGTCTTCAAACTGTGGCCCCTTGGCCCTGAATTAAATCAGATACTTGTGTGAAGCGTTTACCTCCATCTGAATCTGAAGGGCGGAAGAGTGAATGAGATGTAGAAATGGAAGAGAAAAACTTACCACCTTGACACTCACAAACTCAAGAAAATCATGCCTGACACGCAATTCATCACTTGTCATAGGCGTGTTTTGTTAACATACTTTAGATGGACTTACAGCCGAGAGGACACTTGTAACTTTAAAGCACTTCCCATGCATCTGTTTGTGGCAGAGACACATAAAGGTTCCTCTTAAATACTTCCGTTGTTGCACAACTAAGAAGTATGCTTAAGCATTAGGGTTATGAAACAACAAAAAATATGAAAACAAAAAGTGAACTATGTGTACATCTTGCTACATGTTCTTTCAGTGATAAACGCATCAATTGTGTTCCTTTGTGAAAGCAACTTTTCCTTGATCAGCGGAGCATACAGCTAAAAGGTTTTGCCGATCCAGGATATTTTATTTGCCCGAGTCGGGCAGTGTTTTGGATGACTGCAAACACAATCAGTCAAGGAACTGCTTTAAAGCGAGGCTGCGGGAAACAGCAGTGCAAATGGTACATCATCTCAAATCAATAAACTTTAGATAAATATATGTGTAAATTGCAGATTTCATGATGTTCCTATTTAAAATTAATTTCAAGATGTAGTTAATT